GGATGGGTGGAGACATGATCGTAAACCATATCCATTGTCTTCCTCGTTGCTGCTTCTCTATATGACACGATGAAGAAGGAGGCTACGCCTGCAAGAAATGCACAGTGGCTAGAAGTATCCGCCCTTGCGGTCTTCACGGGATGTGCCTTTAACCGCTGCGATGTTATCCAAATACGCCAGAGTCATAGACAGTTGTGCAGAAGAGACAGTTGAAACCACATAACCGGTTTCTCTCGTCTCTACTAGTTTCTCCGTCGTTGAGCGGGTTAGTCGGAATTATGTGAAGTTCTTTACTGCAGCTTATTTCTTTCCATACATAAACTTTGCTTATACCTAGTAAAGACGGCCAACTGTGTTTTCATTTCACTGGGAGCTATCAGTGGTAATGCTTCATATTTCAGTCAGTTCATCTCATTCTGCGTTAGGTAGACTGACCGGTTAGAAAAGTCGTATGCCTCGCAAAGCAGTACTACTACTCATAGGAAACCGTGAAAACTTCGTTTTTTTAGTTCTGCGAAACCAAAGAACTCAGTCCCTCTGTGAACGCCTTCATGTGCCCAGTCCCCATTAGCGGATTTGCCCTGAATCGCCTGCCAAGCAAGGCACCACAGAACTTACGATCCCAGTCCAGAATACATCGTAAGTTGGGGATTTTGGCCTAGTCCGTAAGAACTCCCTAAAAGGTGGCTTGATATGACTCCCTCTTCCTAGTTCCCTCTTTCGGTACGAGCTGTCGAGCGGCGGGTGAGGGAGGGGGTAAATAGCTTATGTGGGAAAAACCCCGAAAAGTCAACAACCGGAACAAACGACTCTCCCCCCTTACAGTCTCCGGAACAAGATGAAACAAGAGATTACGACCCCCCCCTCCCCCAGCGACCAAATACGGCTCCCCTGATGGAGAATCCCCAACGGTTATGTGCCCTGCCCTAGTACTTCAGGTGAATCAGGCAGGATCAGTTCTGCAGTGCACAACAATGCGACCTTCACTTCATCTTACTCACTGCCTTTATCTCCGAGAGTCCTGTGGAGTGAAGATGTGTATAAGGTGCACTTGAATTCCTACTTTCTATTGTTCAATGTTTCTAAATTCTAAATTCTGAATGGCATGCCTACAAATGTCTGCCACTTTGCCTAGCTCTCATCGAGTACCGCAATGCGTCTCTGTCGTCCCCGATGCTAGAACCCTCTAAACCAGATCGTTCACTGACGATGTGCGCGTCGCCAAGGCTTATGACAGTGCATTCCACCACAATAGGTCACGTCTGGGTTTTCGGAATAAATTTCTGCACAGCGATCAGAGTGCGTCCCTGTTGGACGACCCCTTTGATTACCTCCATTCATATGCCCACCCCCCTACACCAACATTTTTCCTAATGATTTTCCGCGTAACTTCCTACCACTTTTTTCGCAGTTTTTCTTGAATTATCTGGTTTTTTCCTCAGAGACTGTTCTGGCTGCCGGAACGGTAAGGAGGGCGGCTAATATAGCGCTTATAAGGTAACGGGAATGTCGCGTAAACAAGCGTTGAAAGAATTCAACGATGTCACGCTGCCGCGAATTTCTCGTTCGAAGGCAAATACGGACGCCCCTTCTTCCCACTCGTTTAGCGTCCGTGAAACACGAAAAGTAAGCTAGAAAATAGATTTTTTTGGACCCAATATACGACTATCCGGCTCCCTGTGCGAGCGCTGATGTTTGCAAGTAGGTATCCAACAATTCTCCCGCTGTAGAAAAAATTTATTCAAATATACACTGTTTCCGATGAAGAAGAAAATACGGTCTTAGTGTCCCTTGGATAAGGTGCCAAGGTGAAATAACCCGAAAGCTGCCGCATGACTACTTCCTTATCTCCAACCGTGAAGTATAGCGATAGGGACAGCGCGGAATGCGACGGGGCGGCGTGGAATTGGGTAGTTCCCCGTCAACGAGATAGTGGGTGGGGACAAGAGGACACGTGCATCACACGTGACCCTCCGACTTCGCGCCAGGTCTGCGCCACTGAGCAGGTGGTTGTCGTCTCGTGATGCTGCCGGCACCCGAACCAAACAGATCGCTTCCTTCAGCGTTCCTTTCGGAACAACCCGGAAGGTCCACAAGTTCACCAATAACTTGCCATTACTACTGTCTATATTCCGACTATTTCTCATCGCTTTTTCTTACAGTTCTCGCCAACTCGACTTGAATTTCGAAGGAAAGCGATTAGAGCGTGTGCCGCACACTCATCCGACCACAGGTGAAGAGTATGACCCACTTGAGGTTCGGCGACTGAATCTTAGCAAAAATAACCTCATTCATATTGAGTGCCTACCAGCATTTGCAAATTTAGTTAGGTAAGTATTTAGGTCACTACGGTTGGGCCTGAGAACGTACATCAACATCATTGAACCATTTTTTTCAGTATTGATGTTTCAAATAATGGTTTATCAGTTCTACCAGAAGATGTCGGTTCGATGGTTCATTTACGGACCCTCGCGGCACGTAACAACCTTCTTGAAGAACTGCCAAAATCCATGACGAATCTGGAGCATATGGAAGCTCTATATTTGTCCGGTAATCGTTTCGAGACCGTACCGCCGCCTGTATTCAGCATGTATCGTTTACGGGTACTTCATTTGGGTGGAAATCGTATCGAAACTGTACCGTATTCCATTGGAAGCATGGCTAAGTGAGTGCGATGTTGTTTTTTGGTTCCATAATTGATAAGGGGTGTGGACGTTCCTGTTTGGGAGCTTCAGCTGTTGAATATTTGTTTTCTTTTTGTTTGTAATCAGTTCTCGTGATGTGGCGATTACTTTTTGGTAAGAGCAAAGAAAACTTAAGACGATTTTCCGATCAAAGATGGGAATTGCTGCATGATAATCGGCATTCACACTTCTCTCTCTTTTGGTCGAACTCAAAGAATGATCAAACGGGTTGTGACGTAACACGCTTTCAGATTGGAGATTCTCTATCTTGGTGGGAATCTTCTTCGGGATGTACCAGCCACTATTGGGCGGCTTCAGAAGTTGTCGTCACTGTCGTTGTGCGATAATCAACTCGAGACGATTCCATCCACCTTTGGAGAGCTCAGGAACCTCGAAAGTCTATCGTTACATAACAATGTATTAAAGGTGGGTTACAGTTATGATCATTGTTTTCGGTGCTCTCGCTTTTTCCCAGCCACGGAAGGGGTGGGCATTTCGCAAAATCCTATCGATAACCCAAGCCCCCATCGATATGTCCCAAAAAAATGAGCTCTTGCAAAGCTGCGAAGTGGTACCGGTTTCAGCTCTACACTAAAGTTCAGGGTAAGGGGTTCCGGGTTTGATTGTTTATGGTAAGCTACTTACGGAAATCCCTTCCGAGCAATAGGTGTCTCTCTTCCACACGTCTACAAGGAAAGAAAAACTTCGTGGTTTGTGACTTAAAGGCATTACTTCACAGTCGCCGTGTGGGCGGAGCCTGTCCTGCCATGATGCCCGCCTCACTGGCCAGCTGCTGCTTTATACCATCACAGAAAAGAGAGACACACTTATGAGAAATGCACAATTCAGGCTCGGCTCGAATGGCCGAGAGCGGAATAGGACGACGAAGCTGTTAGGTACTCTGCCAGCCTACCAAACTGTAGTTTATATAGAACACAAACTGAAACTGGTACCATTTCGTGACTTTACCGGAGAAGAGAGTTCACAAAGCAGCCCCGCTTACCTGCACGAGTTTTCGTTCACAACACGCGTCCCTCCGTGGCGGATTAGCGTTTATTTTGTATTTTATGAATTCGGTTGTTTAGACACTGCCAACGGAAATCGTCAAGCTCCGTAATCTACAGCAACTCAGCCTCCGTAACAACCCCCTAGGTAGGTTTGTGTTCGCTCATAACTCTTTTATTGACTTTGTTTTTGCGAAGTTCTGATCACTTGTAAGAATTCAATAGAATCCCGTCGCTTGCTGGTTTTACCAGTGGTCTGGGGGTATCAACTTTTTCTTTTTATACTACCTTTTCCTTACGGTCTGTGTGCGAAGCGACAGAACCATCTTCAGCGCGGCTGATGCATCAGCCATGACCGTGAAAGGCTTCCGTGATTGTCGGATAAAAGGCATGGTTGCTTCATCACAGCGGTTTCGGCTGGCGCGAGGAGGAGGCGGTCATTGTTCTAAGTGGTATTCATGCGAATAATACTTGTTGCGGGCTTCGTGCACTGCCTCGTCTTTATTCTTTCCGGGGGGGGGGGTGGGTAAAATTTAAGGCACTGCATAGCCGCGTCTCTTTTCCTGTTCCTGAACAACGTTTAGACTTGGAGGCATGGGGAAGGTACCGCGGTAGAGAAGGCTGTTCGTAGCTATTAATGATGGGGTATTGGCGCGCGCTTCCCCTGATCATGTCTGCGTTGAGATGGAGCTCCAAGCCTTATTTGCCTTATTCCTCTGCTCACAGGAATATTGGGTCGGCATTTTTTTTTTTGAAAAGTACATATAGAAACAGCGGTGCAAATTAGCTCGAGAGGAAGAGAGAGGTGCACGCTGAGCTCCGCCTCTTTGTTCCTATGCCCGTATGATAAGGCAGGGCTTCAGAATTCGCAATGACTGGCGCGTAGCGCGCATTGTGTACGCGCTGGCGACGTGCTACCATTGCAACAGCAGCGCCGTAGACGGGTAAAATCGAGGCTGTCGAAGCATATGCTCAGTAGCAGTAGCGTGAGCGGCCGGCGCTAGTCGGAACCGAGCCCCGTTTACGGGTGTGTGCCCGTCATCAGCACTGGCACGTCTTCGCGAAGTCTGAACGCTGCTTATAGCACGGGCTCGGCAGGGCGCAGGCGATTGGAGTCATCGCGTGGTTTCGCAGAGCTGACATACTCCCACAGTTAGGTGCTCCCCCCTTCCACTGGGTTTGCATTGAAAATCAATTGGTATCTTCTCCATTTATTAACACAAAATCTCTTTTTTCAATTAAACTGAATTTAAACAAAGTTTACTCCCTTTTCAGTTCATCACTTTGTTCACAATATGCAGTTGGAGCCACCAAAACTGAAAGAACTAGCTGGACGTATCGTGCGATTGAAAATGTCCAAGATTCCCGTCAAGGAAGTGCTACCAAGGTAATTTCTTGCACTATATGTAATCATTTTCGGAGTGTTCTTTGAACTAATCAATCTTGGTCGTTTCGATATCACTGACCTTGTTCTTCTCTTCTCTGAAACTCGCGCGATCAAAATTGCAACTTCGTGCTCGCGCCTCACGTGAGCTTCAGCTTATCGCGCTTTTTCATTCCACGAATTGCACTAAGCTACGCGTGTGGGACTTTACGAAGACCTCCTTCTGAGTTGCGCCATGCATCCCACTTCCTTCTGAACCTCAAAAGCATCTGAGTGCCAGTTTGGCTCATACAATGATTTGCGGCCCCAAGCCCACACCTCGTAATAACCTGGACTGACAGAGAGATGGGCGGGGATTCACCGTACCTCTCTGTCCACAATCCCGCTCCGCAGTCTCACTGCTTAATCCACCACCTCCTACAAATGAAACGATTGTGGCCTGTGCAGAAGTCCTTTACTCAGACTAGGTTGTCAGCGGCGGCTGTTGGTTTCAAAATCTGTGCTCATACTAAATTTCAGGGCAGCCTGACGAGTGTATACTGAAATCATTTTCCATTTTAGGGAACTCATCACATATCTGAACTCAGCGAATCAGTGTGTGAATCCGAAATGCAAGGGGGTCTACTTCGAAGCATGCGTTGAACATGTGAAGTTTGTCGACTTCTGTGGAAAGTATCGGGTACCATTGTTACAATTCTTGTGGTGAGTAAATACCAAGTTACATTATTAGATTTCGAAAACCAGCATTTCCTAGAAAAACTCAGTTGAGCAGAGTACAGTCCTCATCATTACGGACTGTCGGGGCGGCACAGCTGCACTGTGACGCGACAGCGGCTGCGGCTCGGTGACGGCGAATCAGCTGATTTCCATGGAATTCGGCTGCGAATTCCCACTTTTTCAACTCTTCAAGCTTCGAAAGTGGAAGGTGAGTTATTTTGAACAATTTTAAATTGTACTGACTCTGAATGAATCTGAAAGAATGTAAGCCATTTGAATAAATGCCTGAAATAAGGCAAAATACAAGGAAAAGAGCATAATAATCGACATAAAAATAAAGGAAATCAGAGCCAGTACAATTCAAAATTGTTCAGAATAACTCACCTTCCACTTTAGAAGCTTGAAGAGCTGAAAAAGTGGGAATTTGCAGCCGAATTCCATCGAAATCAGCTGATTCACCGTCACCGAGCCGCAGCCGCTGTCGCGTCACAGTGCAGCGCGGCTGTGCCGCCCCGACAGTCCGTAATGATGAGGACTGTACGACAGCCCTGATAGTCAAAAATTTCGCGAAATTTTT